ACCTTTTGGTTAGCAACAGAACTCTTAACCACTGCACCACCAGGGCTCTCTCTCTCTATAAGCACCTGCAGAATAGGCTCCATTTTGCCTTTTGGACTACAAAGACTAAAAGATTTACTACTGGTCCTTCACAGAAAAAGTTGCCTATCTATGTATGTCATAGAGTGATTTCAAGGATTAAATAAAATAATACGTGTGAAAGTAGTTATTAGGATTCTAGCACATAGTTACCACCCTTTTTTTTTCTTTATTGATCATCTATTTTGGGTATATAGCTCATTTCCATATTTTATGTGCATTAAATATTTGTGCACATAAATATTTGTCCACATCTTGGATTAGATTATATTCCTAAAGGTAGATGGGTTTCAAACTTAAGAAACTTTCAAATATAATGTATTTTGTCTTGTCATACTAGCCTTACATGCCGAGGCAACTGGAGAATTTTAGACCAAAGAGATTACAATTACTGCCCTTGCCTCCAGAAATGTTTCATTTTTGGATTTTTAATTTTTCTATTCTTTTTTTTAACTTTCTTTACTTTTTTAAAAAATTTTAATGTGCTCTAGGTGAAAGTTTACAGTTCAAATTAGTTTCTCACTCAAAAATGTATACACAAATTGTTTTGTAACATTGGTTGCAATCCCTGCAATGTGTCAGCACTCTCCCCCTTTCCTTTTCCAGCCGGGGTTCCCTGTGTCCATTTGTCCAGGTTTCCTGCCACTTTTCTGCCTTCTTATTTTTGCTTTTGGGCAGGTGTTGCCCATTTGGTCTCGTATACTTGATTGAACTAAGAAGCATGTTCCTTGTGTGTTATTGTTTATTGTATAGGCCTGTCTAATCTTTCGCTGAAAGGTGGACTTCGGGAATACCTTCAGTTCTTAGTTAGCAGGGTGTTGGGGGCCATAGTCTCAGGGGTTCCTCCAGTCTCTGTCAGACCAGTAAGCCTGGTCTTTTTTTGGTGTGTGTGAATTTGGATTTTGTTCTACGTTTTTTCTCCCACTCTCTCCAGGACCCTCTGTCATGATCAATGTCAGAGTGGTTGGTGGTGGTAGCCAGGCACCATCTAGTTCTGGGCTCAGGCTAGTGGAGGCTATGGTTCATTTTTGGATTTTCAGTTCAATGAGAAATAGTCTGTGAAGTTCATTCATTCATTCCACAGGCATTCATTAAACATCTACTCTCTGGACACTTATATGTACAAATAAAGATAAATTTATACATATTTTCTGCCCTTGGGGAGCTTCAGTGTAGTAGGGGAGATAAAACATAGGAAGAACAAGCAGTTTAGTTAACTAGGATAGGCATAGGCTCAGAGGCAGAAAAAAGCAGCAACAACCTGGGGGAATTATGAGCAAGGGAGAAGGCTGGCAATGTAATTTGGTGAGATTATAGAAAGTCTTAAATGTTTGTTTAAGGAGTGTGATTTATTAGAGTTGCACTGTTTCAGTTACTCTCAGGTCTTTGGGAGGTTGAAGGCAATAGTTTGCAGAAGGCACAAAAGTTATTTCCTTTGATTAGAAGTACATTTTGAAGCAGATATTGCAGCCAAATAAAAGTCAAGTAAACCATTACTTTTTTTAAAAAAATGACATCATTAGCATACTTAAGAAATAAGTGCATCCACCTGTATTCATCAGGGGACGTTCCTAATGTATTTCATTAGTAACATGCCAGTCTTGATCCTCAGTCTCTAGGGAATTAGCAGCAGCATGATTGCTTTCCTCTCCCCAGCCTGCCCACTGAAGGCATTATGAGTAACATTCATTTATGTGCAATAAAGGTGGGGCTGGATCTTATTAAATAATAATAGTGAAGAAACCAACCAATTTGCCTAAGTAATGACATTCTGAAAACTTACTAAAATCTACCCCACTTTATAAAAATCCATTTCTAATACCAGAAAAATTGGATCCAGTGGGGGAACCAATGGAGCTTTTATGTAAAGCTTCATTTCTCATTGTTTCTGTAGAACGGTGGCTCCTCAGGAAGATAAGTAGTATGCAAAATTTTTAAATTTATGGACAAATAAAACACTGGTTAAAACAGAGTTAAACAGGTTTCCTTTCTGAAGGAATTATCAGACCCCTTAACATGCTATTACACATTGTAACTATCTAAGGTGATGAAGCATGAACTACTTGTCAATTTATTGACCTGGTGTCTTTTTTTTCAAAGGAGTATCTTGTATTTTTGGAGGTTTCTGTGGAATGTACTTTGTGAAACACTGGAGTGGCAGCTATCTGATCAGAGATGTGTTTCAGGAGCATAAATCTGGAGGTGATATACATAAAGGATGACGAGGAGACAAAGAGACAAAGAAAACAGGCTATATGTCCAGGTAACTAACAGTCCAGGTGATGAAAGTGTCAATTATGGAAATGTAACATAAATACATCGTGAAGAAAAGATGGGCAGGGCTTTGCAACCCAATGGACATTGGCAGTAAGAGAGCCAACACTGGTGGTAAGGAGTCAGAGGTATTCAAGCTTATACATTTGGTTGGCTAGGAAAGTAGACATACATTTAATGGAAAGTGGAAGACAAAAGCTGTACCTTAGCGGGATCTGGGTAAATTCACTGAAGCAATGAAAGACATACAATTATTTTTGCTTGCAAGACAGTTAAGACTTGTGATCAGCAGAAATTCACTTATTATTCTGTCCTGCAAGGCTTAAGGAAACAGCTTTCCTTCCGCTCTTCCTTCCATTTCTTCCTTCCAAGTCACCCCTCTTAGACTTATTCTTATCACCAAATCTGGCTATTGAGGGAAACAGTCTCTTTGGCCTCCTTTTTTGCTATATCCCAAACGGATATTCATTTCAAATGTTTTAATGCTGATGAGTAGAGAAAGTAAATCTTCTCATACGACTCCACTTCAACACACTCTAGCCAACCACTTGGTAAACCCTGGTGGTGTAGTGGTTAAGAGCTATGGCTGCTAACCCAAAGGTTGGCAGTTCAAATCCACCAGGTGCTCCTTGGAGGGTTGCTATGAGTTGGAATTGACTTGATGGCAATGTGTTTGGTTTTTTTGGTTTTTAGTTATCTAGTGCTGCTATGACAGAAAAACAACAAGTGGATGGCTTTAACAAATAGAAGTTTATTCTCTCACACTTCAGGAGGCCAGAAACCCAAATGCAGGGCACCAGCTCCAGGAGAAGCCTTTCTCTCTCTGTCAGCTCTGGGGGAAGGTCCTTGTCATTAATTTTCCTCTGTAGGAGCTTCTCCACGCGGGAATCCCAGGTCCAAAGGACGTGCTCCCCTCCTGGTTCTGCATTCTTGGTGGTAGGACGTCCCCCTGTCTTTCTGCTGGCTTCTCTCTTGTATATCTCTAAAAAGGTTGACTCAATGTACAACCTAATCTAGTAGATTGAGTCCTGCCTCATTAACATCATAGAGGTAGGATTTACAACACATAGGAAAATCACATCGGATGATAAAATGGTGGTCAATCACACAATACTGGGAATCCTGGCCAAGCCAAGTTGACAAACACATTTTTGGGGGACACCACTGAATCCATAACAGGGGGCAAAAATAGCAAACAAATAGGAAGTTACAATGACTTTTTTTAAAACTTAAGTGTTTTTTTGGAATTTTTTTTGTCTTACTCATAACTCATCTATTTTAGAATGACAACATGCTATACCTACCCACTCATATCAAATAAAAACTTATCAGCAACTGTTCTTGGGAAAACTTGGTTTTTCCTATTTAGGTGATTTCATTGAAAGTGCATCAGTGGTTTATGCTCACGTTCTTTTACTCTCACTTGGTTCTCCCTTGATTTGTGCACTTTTGTGCACTCTGATGCCAGACTGCTGTTCCCTCATTTACAAATCTCAGCCTTCTTTCCCTAATAGCTAAGGAGTATGCTTCAAAGGTGCATTTACTACCATATCATCTTCTGGGGTTACATGAACCAACTAGTCTGCCTGGCAGTCCGTTCATGCCTATTGCCTCAGCATAATTGATAGCACCTTCTTCCCATCTCTGAAGTGTCCTGGTCTGCACAATAAATTATACGGTTCCCTATGTATCAGACCTCATTGTTCTTATCTCATTCTGCCAATTCGCGGCTTCCAATTATAAGCAAGTTTATTTTTAATGATATAGCATTACGGATTAAATGGAAAAGAACTGCAGAAGTCTTCTAGTGCAGTTTCACACTGAGAATTTCTTTGACAAAATCCTTGACAGGATTCAGCCTGTATCTGAACTTCCTGGCAGCTAATTCATTACCTTGTGAGGTGGCCTTTTCCACTACTAGGAATTGCTAGAGTTTTAAGAAAATCTTCTTTACCCTCAGCCTAACTTTTATTATTCTTTCCCAGTCTAAAATTCATAGTATACAGGTTAGGGATTCTTTTCTCAACCACAACTTTTCAAGATGCCTGGCCCAAGGAACCCATTGTATGTCATGAATTAACTTCTCTCCAAAACACCTAGAATCCAAAGTCCCTTTTCCGTCCGGCGACCCTATAGGACAAAGTAGAACTTCCCCATAGGGTTTCCAAAGAGCAGCAGGTAGACATCTAGTTCTTGTTATATACTATCCTTGGGAAACTTGAGAAAATTGTCACTTAAACTGTTTTTGTGTTGTGTGTTTCAGACGAGGAACCTCGGTTAAAAGATAGCGAGGCTCCACCATTTACCAGTCGTGTGACCTTCGAAAATTTATTTCATCTCTTTGAGACTCTGTTTCTCAGTAATGAAAAAAAGTATAAAAAAAAAAAAAAACTAAGTTGCTGTCGATTTTGACTGACGGCAACACCACAGGTGTTAGGGTAGAACTGTGCTCCATAGGGTTTTCAATGCCTGGTTTTTCAGAAGATCACCAGCCCTCTTTCCAAGGTGCCTCTGGGTGGACTCAAACCTGCAGCCTATCAGTTAGCAGCCGAGTGCATTTACAATACCTCTCTTATGGGCTGCAGTGAGAATTAAATGGCATGTAAAGCTCCGTAACAGCAGACTTTATTTTGTTCACCACTTTATTCTCAGCGCCTGGCACAATAGCAGGCACAGAATAAGTCCTCGATAAATAATTGCGAACAGTCAGTAAAAGCCCCTCCCACACTGTCTTGTACATAGCACTTGATAAAAGCTAGATATTATTCTTGCAATCGTTCTTCCTATGACCTAGTTTCCAGACCTCTCACTATATTCACTCTTATGGAAGCTCTCTGGTTTATCAACATTCTTCCTAAGATGTGGCTCTAACAATTCAATGCTGTGAGGTATGTGGTAATTTTGCTTTATCTGAACATAATTACTTTAAGAAAGTCTAACAGACAAGGTTCACCGTAAGGAAAGAACCAGGATGGTATAGTATTACGGAAAGTCATTGCAACCAGTGCTTTTTCTTATCACTCCAACTATTGAAGAGACCAGTATGGTGATTACATTTATTAGCCTCCTCATCTAGTTTACTCCTTGATGGCAGGAAGTTCATCCACAGTGATTATCACAAGAAGACACTCGAATATTGTTGAACAGTTGAGCAAAGACCAACAAGAAGTTTCAAGGAAGATGCTGTAGTTTGAACAGAGACAAACAGCTTTATGGTAGGAGACCGTAGGACTATGGTTTCCACCAGTGTTTCGGGACAGCAGGGATTGAGGAGCTGATATCTAATGTGAATAATAAAATGACAAATACGTGTAAAAACTAATATTAAGCAGTTGGCAAAGAAAGGAACGTACATTGGCTTAATAATTTGAAAGAACAGAAAGCTTTAGGTTTTATTTTTGTTGTTTTGAGTCTAGTTGAGATTGGAGCTCGTCTGTAAATAGTCCTTTAGAAAAGGTGACGGGAGGGCTGATGGAAGATGTTAAGTGTTGGGGAAAAGATGGAAGGGCAAATGTCGGGTCATAGGTGGAAGAAGTAAGTAAGGAAGCATTTCTTCTTCACCAACAGAAGTAAAGGTAAAGAGTAAGATACTGAGGCAGGGGCAGTTAAGGAAGCTTGAACTAGAAGCCTCGAAGTAGGAGAATCAGGTGGTGAGAGGGGAAAGGGTACTACTTGTGGAAATCAGTCAAGTTTGGATTCACTACTGGAATGAACAAAGTGTGAATAAAAGAACTGTCGACCTGGGGGAGGGTGGCCTAATCAGCTCAGCTTTGTGTCTACCTAAGAAATAATCTCTTCTCTCTCTTCCTGATCTAATCATTTTGGTCGCAGAAACCCATCTGATTTAATAGTAAAATATTCCTTTGAATAGGCTGTCAACAGAACCCCTACGTATTTTTTACATTAAAATGAAAACACATTCTTCTAAAAATAAGACTGCGAATGCACCAAGAAAGGATTTTGGAAAAGCCTTATTCATAAGCTAATCAAGGGTGGCAGAGGGAGACATCGTTTTAAGCTGGGATTCAGGCTGCGATGACACCTCCAAATGCTATCAGACGCTGTTGCAACACACTTCTTAAGAGATCAAGTTTAACTCCACGCGCAGGGTAAGGTAAGAATCTGGCTTGGCGGCCTCGGTTCCGGCCTTCTGGTTCCCTTCCCTTTATCAGGCGGGTAGGGCCCCGACCTCCACCAGTTAGCCGACGGCTCTCGTTGCGAACGCTTGGGCGTACGGTCTGCCGAGGAACAGGTCCTGGGTAAACTGCCCCAGGCCTGGTCACGAAAAAGTTATCTCCAGACACCATCGCCAACGCAAAGGCCGACGAGCTGAGGTCGCCAGGAGTGGGACGGTGGGCCATCCTGTACCCTTGATCGCCGGCGGACAGGGACACATAGTTTAGGGTCATCTTCAAACACCGCCCGCTGTATCTGCGTTACGCCCCTCGATCAAGGTAGGCCCTTCCGAACTCCACAGATCAGTCCAGACCGTGTGCGCCTCGGAGACAAGCGGCTGCGGAAGCCATAACCAACACGGCGGCCGATCGAGAAACCGCCTCTGAAGAGGACTCTCCTCGCGAGCGTACGTAATCCGTCACTGCACGTAGGGCAAGCGTGTGGGTCGTTTACGTCGCGTGACGCCGGGGAGCACGAGGACGTGAGGTTTCCGAGAGTGCGCAGTGGATTCGTCGGCCACGACCCTTCGGCCTTGGTAGGGAGGGGGCGACGTTGAGATGGGGGCAGCGGCAGCGGAAGCGGATCGGACTCTCTTTGTGGGTAACCTTGAAACTAAAGTGACAGAGGAGCTCCTTTTCGAGCTTTTCCATCAGGTAAGCAGCTGGAATCAGCCCCCTTTCCTTTCGTGTTCTGGCTCGCGTAGGGCCTGGCCCAACGGCCGTCGCCGCTTTTTTTGCGCGAGCTTGGCGGTGGCTCAGAGCCCCCGACAGGTGGCCGTTTGGGGAGTGAGGTCGCGCTTTGAAAGTGAGGCGCTCGCTGAGAATCGCGTCAGTAAAGGAACCCTGGTTAGTTCAGGCTAAACGCGACGATTAACGATGGTGGAGGAATCCTCAATCACGCGTTCTCGTGGTAAAGATTCCGGGGATTTAAGGGGCACACGTATGTGTTCTTCTCTGAGCAGTGCTTTTCTTGTCCTCTTTTCTTCGTCTTTCCCTTAGGGTAGTTTATCTTTGGTTGATCTTCCCAAGACTCCCTGTTAAGTTATATTTCAATTCCTTTGTCAGTCATTATTTCTTTTTCACTTTCCTTATACAATTGCAGCGTTCCTAAGGTATTTTAAATAGGCTCAGTAAAACTCCGTAGAAAAGCAGCACTGCAGTGTTTCTTTATTGAAAGCCTCAAGTCCCGTGTGTTAAAAAGTATCCCATTCTACCCACCCCGATACCCAGTAACTGGTAATGTTTGATTAATCGATAACAAACGTGAATTTTTAGCCCAAGAAAATCAGTTCCTCTTTCTCTTGAAAAACGGAAATTTCCATGTGGTAGGAAATGTTGGACGATTGTCACTTTGTTAAAAAGCCACACAGTGCTGTAAACTGTAAATTTAGTCACTGTTTCCCCAGTTTCTTGTGGGGCCCCTCCCCAGATAAGTTTGTCTAATTTTCAGTCATAACTGTGGGGTTTTTACTCTAACCAAGATGGAAATCCGTGTGAGTCTCTCCCTCTTTCTTTTTTTTTTTTAGTTCCTGATTACATTTCTGTTGCTTTTAAACTTTGTTGACTCTTTTGTTTGCAAACTTTGGATATTTTTCTGACATTGCCCATTTACATTTAAACGCTTATTTGTTTGCTTCTAGGCTGGGCCAGTAATAAAGGTAAAAATCCCAAAAGATAAGGATGGTAAACCAAAGCAGTTTGCATTTGTGAATTTCAAACATGAAGTATCTGTTCCTTACGCGATGCATCTGCTTAATGGAATCAAACTTTTTGGAAGGCCCATCAAAATTCAGTTTAGATCAGGTAACTATTCAGTGATGTTGTTTTGAGGGAAATTTTGTTTGCTTCTTTGTTTTTTGTTTGGAATTTCATTGTTCCGTTTTAAAAAACCTCTCTTGGGGGCCAAAATGTTTTCTTAAGCTTTGTCTGATAGCAAACTTTATATTTCCTTGAAAATGGGTAACATTCACAATGTGGATTATAAACATTGTAATTTTAAAACTACGTTTAACATTTCTGTTTGGGTTAGTGAAAAGAACATAGCTTTATTGTTAAAAAAGACTTCTGTTTAGACCAACTTTTTGAAAGGAGCAGGGTTACCTTCTGAAAATACTTTTGTTGACTGCTTTGTAATTTACAAATTTTGATTCTTGGAAGAAGTGAGGATGAAACTTGTCATTTATCCAGTCATTGTCTAGTACCCTGTTTGGTATCTTTGTTTTGGATATCTGGTATTATGCATTAATAATTCTCATTAATGAAACTGCAAAGTAGTCTACTACAATTTGAGGTTGTTTTCTGTTTCAGCTGATGTCTTACATTTTTGGAGTGATTTAGGGTGAGGGAGACAATCTCAAGTTAAATTTTCTATCAAGAAGAGTTTTTCACATTATTTCATTTTAGGAAGTAGCCATGCCTCGCAGGATGTCAATATGCCATATCCCCAGCATCACGGTGGGAATTCAAGTCCTACTGCTACTCCCACATCTCCTAGCAGGTAATATTTCTCACCTATTAATATATATGAGGAATTTTCTTAGGTAGCGATCTCATAATGCATAATGAGTGAATAGCTTACATCTTTATGCTCCTCTACCTCTTTTTTCTTCTGCTACATGTCACATTGGATTATAGTTTATACGTATGTATTTTAAGGAGAATATAGACAGAGAATACATATTATATATAGGCTCCTTATAGTAAATATATATTTATATATATTTTTTCATATGTAAGGACATATACCCATACCCACATCTACCCAGAATTTCTCAAAACGTTACCTACCTTTACTACTTGCTATTCATTCTGGTATTTTCTATTTTATTTCATCTTTTAAACATTTAAATTAATTTCATGATCACTAATCGGTTGTTATTTGTGAGTTAAAAATGTTTAGTAGACAGACAGTTGGACTGAGAGTTTGTAGAATTGGATTCTAGGTCTGCCTGTACAATTAATTGTGTAATCTTGAGCTAGTCTTTTATCTCTGATCCTATTCTTTTCATTTGTAAGGACAAGAAATTGAATTAAATGATCTGTAAAATTCCTTCCAGCTACAGAGGGTTAGAAAAGATAAACCGTATTTACTTAAATAATTTTATTTGTTTTCCGGAGGCTGATATTTTACCAGGAACGATTTTTCCCTGGTAATAACTACAATACTGGACTTCATTCAAGAAAGATTTAACGAGCATCTGCCATGTATTAGGTTCTTTGCTAAGTCCTTTGCATGTATTATTTATTCCTCACAGTAGTCTTATGAGTTAAGGATTATTATCTTCTATCTTATATGTGAAGAACTGATAAGCAGTGCGGCTGGGGTTCAAACCTAGGCAGTGTGATAGAGGCCAGTCACTATAATGTATTGCCTAAACCAAAACCAAACCCTTTACCGTCGAGTCGATTCCGAGTCATAGTGAACCCATAGGACAGAGAAGAACTGCCCCTAGGAATTCTAAGGAGCAGCTGGTGGATTCATGCTGCCGACCTTTTGGTTAGCAGCTAAGCCCTTGACCACTGCGCCACCAGGGTTCCACATATATTACTAGTGGAGCTTAAAGTTTAGATGAAGACACGTGTTTCTATGACTACCTGTTTAATTACTATAATAAGTTCTGTGAAAGAGTAGAGAGTGCTTTGAAAAAGTGTTAACAGGAGAGTCTTAAAGCAGATAATGTGGAACCGAAAGAGGCCAGTGTACCTAGAACATAATGAAAATAGAAGATGATATCAATGAAGTAGATAGAGGCCAGATAATACAGTGTCTTTTTGTAGGACATAATCAAGATATTGAGATATGACCCTAAGAACATTAGGAAGACGTTGTAAGGTTTTAAGCAGGGTAGTTTTAGGGACAGGTTTATATTTTAAAGAGTTTTTGGTCACAGTGGAAGAATGAATTGGAGGGAAGAAGATTGAAAATAAACCATTTAGGAACCTATTGGTACCAATGTGGGTAAGGTTGGTGGTTTGGATTAGGGTGGCGCCAAGAACTGAAAAGAAGTGATGATACTGGAAAGTGGAATTGTAAACAAACAATAGTGAAAAAAAAGGTACCCTCCTAGTATCCTCTCTTGCCAGCTAAAATTAATTGTGTTTAAACAGTTCTTAGTAAGGTGGGAATTCAAAACATCTCCAGCCACTTTTATGGAACTTGTCAGAGGTGACTTAGGTGGAGAATTAAAAACAGGTTCTCCCCCACCTCAGAATTTCTAAAAGAAAATTATACAAGTAAATGCTTTAGTTCTAACGAAAGGTTAGAGTGTTTATCTTTCTTACACTGTTTTTATAATACATCTAAAATTGTACTCTTTTTCTCCTTTAGCATACAGGTATATAAACTGGTCTAAGAATACCCAAAATATAAAGATACAAATTATAAGACAAGTCAGTTATTTGATTTCAAAAGTATATTTTAAAATAAAATTTATTTGTTAAAACACTTTCTAAATGAGTTTTTCTGTAGAGCAAGGAACTTCTTTAGGAAATGAGGAATAATGTTTGTTTAAATCCTTAAAATCAATATCTTATGTATCTTATAGAACGCTAGTTTGTTAAGTCCCAAAACCTCTTTCCTATCTCAGTAAATGAAATCACCATCTACCCAGTTACTCAAGCCAAACATTTAGATTTTATCCTTTATGTCTTGTTTTCCTCATCCCTCATATCTAATCAATCAAATCCTTTTAGTTTTAGTTCTCAGTCTAGGCTTTTGTAGCCCATGGATTGACATTTTTTTTTCTGTAAAGGGCCCGATAGTGAATATTTGAGACATCGCAGGCCGTATGGTCTCTGTCACAAGTACTCAATTCTGCTGTGTAGCACTAAAGTAGCCGAAAGACATAACAAAAGATCATGACTGTTTTCCAGTAACATTTTGTTTACAAAAACAGGCAGCAGGCAGGGTTTGGCCTACAGGCTATAGTTCATTCACTCCTGCACTAGCCTTTCCCTCAGCTGGGAACGTACTACCTCCAGGTAATTTTATTATTCAGGTCTCACTTTGTACGTTTCCTTTTTAGAAAGGCCATCCCTGACCAACCAAGCTAAAAAAGGACCCACTCTTTCCCTTACTTCCAGTTGCTTTTTATCAAATCGTATGTTATAACACTTGTAACCATGTGAAATTATCTTGTCTGTATCCTTAACCCAGCTCCATGAGAGCAGGTACCTTGTCTGTCTTGTTCATTCCCAGCTATGGGAACTGCGTCTTGCTTGTCGTTCGTATTTAGTGAATATTTGTTGGATGAATGATTATTTGTTGGTTTTCTTATTTTTAGCAGGTATGAAAGGATCATGGATAACATGACACTTTCAGCACATACAATTCAGAGATCGTTCTGTTCTCCAGAAAATTTTCAGAGACAAGCAATGGTAGGCTGGTTGTTCATCTTTTGAGTTGCTAAGAAGTCATACTACGTAAAATGTTCATATTCTATCTCACATAACTGTTGCTTTTAATTAACTTTGTTAAGTTGGGGTTTATTCCTTAAACTATAAGGAGCAAACTAGCTTTTCTGATTAATTACTAAGTTAACTTTTTCTTAAATTTTAGTTACACTAGCATGATTTTTGTAGATCACTCTTTCATTTTCACTTAGCTGAAATGTTTGCTTAAAAAATTCAAGAAATAGAACTTCATTTCACGTTTACATTTCTCTTTCAAACCACTGTGTGTGTGTGTGTGTGTGTGTGTGTGTGTGTGTGTGTGTGTGTTTACAAACAGTGCAGACTTATTCTCTGATGTTCTTGCAACCTGTGCTGAGTGACTTCTCATTATGAGCTCTCTTTAGTACTTTAATATACTGAAGTCTTCTAGACCAGTTCCTTCTTGACTTCCCATTTTTCTGTCACATTATCACTGTGAGAGTATGCTTTAGCTATCTCTTACTGTTTCATCTTTTGTCTCCAGTCAGTTTCCAAGTCCTTCATTTTTTTCTTTGTAATAGTTCTTGCATTCATTTCTTTTTATTTTCTCTGCTTAAACCATGATCTTGGCTAGTGGACCTCAGGCTTTTGTATTTCACAGGTCTACAAAATAAAGATATAAAAGTGAAATAAAGTAAAATTGAGAGACCAATATAAAAGGATATCAAGATTTTATATATATGGCTTATTTTTCTCATTTTGCCATAGACTATTTTAAAAAATCATAATGGACTAATGTCTATCTACAGGACAGAATTTAAGAACAGTGGTTCTGCTCCATTAGCACTTGCCTGTATTTTCCCCTCACTAGCCATCTTGCACACGGTTCTAAATTAATACTATAATCCTGTTTTGCTTATCTTCCCTGCACATTGACTCCCTGTTTGCAGGATTAAGTCGAATTCTCTAGCCTAGTTATTAGATATTTAGTAGTCTGACTCCAGTGAACCTTTCTAGCCTTACCTTCCATTAGACATTGCTGGTAAGATCTATAACCTGTCTCAGCCAGAATTACTTGCTATTCTATGAACCTGTCCTGTCTTTTCCTGTTATCTTTGTCCAGTTTCTTTCCTTGTAAAATATTTTCCTTAAAATATTCCATCCATTCATAAAGCCTTTCCTAATGATACTTTGTTCCTGGTTCTTTATATGTTCACTCAATGATTTGTATTATAGTCATTTCATATGACTTTGTCCCTTCCGAGTTTTATTCTTGAGGGCAAACAGTGTGTTTATGTATTAAAACCTTGTAACTATACATTGGAATGAATTAAGATATTGTACTGTTACTTTTAGCTGTGTTTAACTTAGGATCCATCTAGGCAAGAGTGATTTTGCTTTTTTATTATTTAATATTATTTTATTATTTTTTATACGTGTAAACTGTAAGCAAGTACATACTGGCTTTGACATCTAGAAATATTTGTTGTTAACTTTTCTTTCTTTTCTCTTCCCTCAGATGAACAGTGTTTCGAGACACATGTCGTACGGTGGGAAATTTGGTTCTATACAGCTGGACCAACCAGGATTCTCTCCAACAGTTCAGTCACATAATCATCCTCTTAACCAGTCTTCAAGCTCCCAGTGGCGCCAAGATACATCATCATCACAGCGTAAAGTTAGACAGAATTCTCATCCGTACATAGGAGATAGACATTATAGCCGTGAACAGTGTTACACCGATCATGGATCTGATTATCATTACAGAGGAAGCAGAGAAGATTTCTTTTATGAAGATAGGAATCATGATGGCTGGAGCCATGATTATGATAACAGAAGAGACAATAGTAGAGATGGAAAATGGCGCTCATCACGACACTAACAACTGTTGAAAGGACACTCTTTCTTTTTATAGGGTCATTTTAGGCCCTTTTGGCTAAATTGGTCTGGAAAAGTTTTGTTGAAAAACAGTACAGAGCAGCTTTACAAGTTGCCACATCTGTTTAAAAAAAATTTTAAACCCATACCTAGAGTTTAATACAGAAATGAGAAGAATTGTGGTTCCAGTTTTATTACATTAATAACCTTTCACCTCAGGGTTTTATGAAGAGGAAAGTGCCACAATTCCTCCTCATTTTAGACAGTTTAGGACAGGGTGGACTGTACAGTTTGGTTGTATTATAAAGCAAATATTTTAATTATTTGTAATCCTTTTGTATTGCAAGAAATTTCTTGCTAATCACATTTGGGTGTGTATAATGGAACATATCCAAGTTGGTAGTCTGAAATGGCTACCAGTATTTTGTTAATAAATTAGAAAATGAAACTTTTCAGTGATTCATTTTACTAGCATATTTGAGGAGGGTTATTGGTGAAGTTTGAGGATCAATCATATTGTTTGACCTCTTAGACAATTTATGTATAAAAATTATATAACGTGTTCTTTTGACCTTTACCCTAATTGAAAAATACAAGTGTAAATTTATACATAACATTGTTTTACTCTAAAATACTAGGATTTGTTCATTAAATCATGTTTGATGTATGGTTAAAGTCACTCAAGGTTATGTGTCTCTAGATGTATATTTTTACATCAGAAAAACAGTATTAAATTCCCTTTTTCGAGAAGAAAAAACTTTGTCAATGCATTGTCAGATAAAATGGTAAAATGTTTCACTGAAAGTATGCTTTTTTGGGGGAAAAGATTCATGAAGCCTTTAAGTACATTGCCTCTGCTGCTCAAACATTAAAATTTTTAATATTTTCAAAATGCCCAGGGCATGTGTATAAGGACACATTTTATTATGGAGATCGTACAGGTTGCTTTTCTGTTTGAACATTTGAAAAAATCTCGTCTTAAATATTTCTTGATTTTAAAATTTTAAAATCTTGTTTAACAAAACTTTTATGTATCAAGATGATACTGTTTATCTTTCATTACAGAATATAAACTTGTTTGTAAAAATGTATTCATTAAAAACTCTGGATCCTTTTTAATACTGACCATGGCATTTGTATTATGTTGCGTTTTAATATATTTAAAATTAAACATCCAAAGGAGAGCTACGTCTCATTTTTTAAATCACTAACTTCAGAGACATTTTATATGAAAAGCATGTATTTTTATTCAGTGATTGACTTGGTGTTCAGAATGTCAGTTCTTTAACTTGGAGCATGACCGCGTGCACAACAATAAAACGCTGCCTGGTCCTGCACTGTCCTTATAATCGTTATGCTTGAGCCCATTGTTGCAGCCACTGTGTTAATCCATCTCATTGAGGGTCTTCTTTTTCGCTGACCCTCTGCTTTAGCAAGCGTGATGTCCTCCAGGGACTGGTCTCTCCAGATAACATGTCCAAAGTATGTAAGACAGTCTTGCCATCCTTGTTTCTAACGAGGCTTCTGGCTGTACTTCTAAGACAGATTTGTTCATTCTTCTGGCAATACGTAGTACTTTCAATATTCTTCAACACCATAATTCAAAGGCATCAATTCTTCAGTCCTCTTTATTCATTGCTCAGCTTTCGCATGTATATGAGGCAATTGAAAATACCATGGCTTGGGTGAGGCGCGCCTTAATCCTCCAAGTGATACCTTTGTATTTGAACACAAAAGAGATCTTTTACAGCAGATTTGCCCAATGCGATAAAGACATCGTTTGATTTCTTGACTGCTGTTTCCATGGGCATTAATTGTGGATCTAAGTAAAATGAATTCCTTGACAACTTCAGTATTAATCATGATGTTGCTTATTGGTCCAGTTGTAAGGATTTTTGTTTTTTTTATGTTGAGGTGTAATCTGTACTGAAAGGAGGTCAGGTGGCATGGTGGTTAAGCACTTGACTGCTAAAACCGAAAGGCCAGAAGTTTGAGCCCACCAGCCACTCCACGGGACAAAGATGTGGCCGTCTGCTTCTGTAAAGATTATACAGCCTTGGAAATCCTATAGGGCAGTTCTGCTCGGCTGTGGGGTTGCTATGAGTTGGAATCAACTTGATGGCAACGGGGCTTTTTTAATCCATACTGAAGACTATACTCTCATCTTCATCAGTAAGTGCTTCAAGTCCACTTTCAGCAAGCAAGGTTATGTCATCTGCATACTGCAGGTTGTTAATGAGTCTTTCTCCAATCCTGATGCTGCATTTTTTTTCCATTTCTTCCAGCTTCTTGCTGAAACCTGTCCACCAAAGGTGACCCTGCTGGTATTTGAAATTCCAGTGGCATAGCCGCCAGCATCACAGCAACACGCAAGCTACCACAGTATGACAAACTGACAAATGGATATGTATACATATATGTACACACACATAACCTTTTGTACATGTCAAACTTGATGTTTTAGAATCAGATTTTCAGTGACACATTTTCTGAGTTTCTAAATATGTTCAGTTTTTCTGTTTCTAGGTAAATGGGGCCTATCTAGTTATTTGGTGCAGACAGCATTAAGACCAGGAGTTTCTGTTTACTTAAACAGTTTAATAGTAGCAGGATTTGTTTCCAACGAACCTGTTATTTTCAGGTATCTCATTTATATGAGAATTTATTCCAAGATTTTGTAGATACAACAACAACAACAAAAATCTAAGCTTTTGTAGATACTAACAGATTAATACTGCTTTATTTCAACTTAATCCGTAGGTCCTATCCATTCATACTGATTCACAGGTGATCCTGGTTCAAAATAACATTTTTTTAATGGCTTTCTGGGGTACTTCTTGTGAGCTTCCAGTGAATTTTGCTCACTTCATCCTCACCCAGTGGAAGTAACCTAAATAAATAAATGTACTGTTTCAAAGTTGTGTCATCTGCATACTGCAGATGGTTAATGAGTCTTCCTCCAATCCTGATGGCTGCGTTCTTCGTATAGTCCAGCTTCTCGGATTATTTGCTCAACATATAGATTGAATAAGTATGGTGAAAGGATACAACCCTGACACACACCTTTCCTGATTTTAGACCATGCACTGCTAAAAGAATGAACAAATCTGTCTTGGAAGAAGTACAACCAGAATGCTCGTTAGAAACAAGGACGGTGAGACTACGTCTCACATACTTTGGACATGTTATCAGGAGGGATCAGTCCCTGGAGAAGGACATCATGCTTGGTAAAGTTGAGGGTCAGCGAAAAAGAGGAAGACCCTCAGTGAGATGGATTGACACAGTGGCTGCAACAATGGGCTCGAGCATAACAACGATTGTGAGGATGGCACAGGACAGGGCAGTATTTCGTTCTGTTGTAGATAGGGTCACTATGAGTTGTAATCGACTTGATGGCACCTAACAACAACAACAGTATCCCCTTGTTATGTTCGAATGACTGCCTCTTGGTCTATGTACAGGTTCCACATGAGCACAAGTGTTCTGGAATTCCATTCTTCACAACGTTATCCAAAATTGGTTGTGATCCACACAGTCTAATGCCTTTGCATAGTCAATGAAACACAAGTAAGCATCTTTTTGGTATTCTCTTCTTTCAGCCAAGATCCATCTGACATCATCTGTGATATCCCTCATTCCACATCCTCTGAATCCAGCTTGAATTTCTGGCAGATCCCTGTTGATGTACTGCTGTAACCGTCTTTGAATTTATCTTCAGCATAATTTTACTTGAATGTGTTATTAATAATACCATTCAATAATTTCTGCATTCTGTTTGATCACCTTTCTTGAAGCACTGATGAAAATCAAAGACACGTGTGACTGCAGCAGTGGGCTTGAACATAGCAACAATTGTGAGGATGATGCGGGACTGGGCAGTGTTTCATTCTGTTGCACATAGGGTCACTATGAGTCAGAACTGACTGCATGGTACATAAGAACAACAACAGTATTTTCCAAATTTTTTTTGACCATGGAAGCCTTTTATTCATGATACCTGTTACAACCCTAAAGAATCTGACTCTGATCAATTATCAAATATTTTTATACCATTTTCTAATTGTGTATACTGCTTTTCACCATACTTACTGCCACCATCCTAGCATGGGGAACCATCATCTCAACAAGATTATTCCAATGGCCAAGTAAAATGTCTTCCTGCTTGCAGTTGCCACCCTCAAATTCATTTCACGTACTGCAAAAGTTGAGAATGTAAATCTGACATCACTCGCCTGAATAAAAGCTTCCAACGGCCTCTGACTCCATCTGGAAGTCCAAAATTCTTAATCTAGTAAAACTCTTCACTGTTTGGCATCTGCCTGCTTCTCCAATCTCCTCTCATTACTTTACCCTGATCCCAGCCCTCAGAGTAGCTATCCTTCACTGCTCAGCATCAGCATGACTTCTTTAGAAAGACTTGCCTGAATTCTAAAATCTTGATTAACTGCCAACGTGTGTATTCCCACAGTACCCTATGCAGGTAGTCTCTGACTTGTCAGCTCTGATGTAAATCAAATACTTCATTTTTTTTTTTTTTTTAGTTTTCATTATTATTACCGTTTATTATCAGCATCTTTATAAATCCAATCTTTGTCTTTGGGAGTTGGAAACATTACATGTAAACTTATATTTTAATACATACATAAAAAATGCACAAAGCATAAAAAAAAACAGGCAGTGGTAAGTGCAGTTCATCATAACTTGAATATGTCATAAGTTGGAGACTACCTGTATTTCTCTTATTGTAACGTTTATACTATATTATAAGTTTCTTTTTGCTTGTCTGTATCTCTAGACAGCTCAGTGAAGGTGGGGGCCATATCTTATTCATAATTGTATTCCCAGTATCCAGTGGAGAACATGTATATATTGTTAGCTGCCCTCAAACTGGCTCCCGACTCAGGGCAACCCCATGCACGATGGAACAAAATGCTGCCCAGTCTTGTGCTCTCCCCAAGATCAGTTGTAGATTGGATCTTTGTGATCTATAAGGTTTTCATTGGCTGGTTTTCAGAAGTAGATCACCAGGCCTTTCTTCCTAGTCCGTCTTAGTCTGGAAGCTCCACTGAAACCTGTTCAGCATCATAACAACATGCAATCCACCACTGACAGGTGGTGGCTGCACATGAGGTGCAGTGGCTGGGAATTGAACCCAAGTCTCCTGCATGGAGGGCAAGAACTCTAACAGTGAACTACAATGCCTCATGACATGTATAAACCAAAAAAAAAAAAAAAAACCCCAAACCCATTGCTGTCCAGTTGATTCCAACTCATAACAACCCTACAGGAAGAGTGGAACTGCCCCATAGCATTTACAAGGAGCAGCTGGTGGATTCGAACAGAGGACCTTTTGGTTAGCAGCTGAGCTCTTAACCACTGCACCACCAGGGCTCTCTGACATGTATGTTGTTGTTGTTGTGTGCCGTTGATTGAGTCGATTCTGACTCATAGAGACTGCATGTGACAGAGTAGAACTGCCCCATAGGGTTTTCAAGGAGCAGCTGGTGGATTTGAACAACCAATCTTTTGGTCAGCAGCCTGAGCTCTTAACCACTATGCCACCAGGGCTCCTATGACATATATAGTACTTGATAAATTTTCAATGAATGAATAAAAGCATATCTTCCAATTAATTGAACAGGGGAAAGGAGCATTCAACAAATGAAACTTTTTTTAAATAGATTTGCTAACTCAGCCATTATTGCATCCTATCATAGAATCTACCTGGTGTCGCAATGTATTATGCCTTTAATGTATTGCAAAATTCTTTTTGTTAATTTTCCCTTTAGAAGTTATGCGTCTGTATTCATGAATGACATATAGGTTTTTAAAGAATTTCTTTATTTTCTTAATTTCGTTTTAGAATTATGGTTATGTTAACCTTGTAGATTTAAGTGGTAAACTTCTTTCCCACCCCTAACATACAAACCACTTCCAGTGCTTTATGACAATCACCTAGATTTTAGTTTCAAATTGCCATTAATATTTTAAAACATGAGTCGGAATCAACTTGACAGCAACGGGTTTGGTTTTCTCTCTAAGCACTCATTTCTTCAAAAACTGCCTTAAGCTCTTCACATTCATATGATTCATATAAATCGTCTTACTGTAATCTTAGCTTACCAATTTTTTGCATCCTACTTCTACTATTATGTATTTCACCCTCCTTTTCTGAGTTGTTCCTCCTCCATTAACATAAACTCACTGCTCCCTAACCTTCCTATCTATTCTTTTGGGTTGCTGTTGTCAATTTGATCCCATGTA